ATGGGGAGTTTGTGTATGGATCTGCTTCTAAAATTGTTCTGGATAAGTTAGATGTGGTGCATGCAAAGGCATTGAGGCTTTGTTGTTGGGGCCTTTAGAACTTCCCAGTCCCTGCCCTGCTTGTTGAAATGGGAGAAATGCCCTTATGGTTAAGGCGCATTCCGTGAGAGGTTACAGTACTGGGTTAAACTTAGAGGTGTAGTCATACCTTTCCAGCAAGATTGTGTTACAAAGAGATAGTAGATAATAAATATAATATTTTTTCTGTCACTGTAAACCAGTGGGCTAAGAAGCTGGGCTTGGAACAGGGAGGTAATGCTGAGCACACAAGATGGCTACCTATGCCTTATTGGGTGATGCCTGAATTGAACATTGAGCTTTCTTTTCTTCAGGAAAAGATAAGAGGAAAGTGACTCAAGAATAGTGGAATATCTTAATTCAATCAATGAGAGTACTTTAATTGTTTTTACAGATATGAATCTAGAGATCCAGTTAGTGGGAGAGCTGGTTTTGGGGTGTATGTGGAGCAGATTGGGTTGAAGATTGGTCGACGTATTTCTAATGGAAGCTCTGTTTTCACTACTGAGTTAATGGCAGTTCTATGGGCTTTATGGTGGATTAGGAAGCCAGAACTAAAGAAGTCACTGTCTGCTCTGATTCTGCAGCTGCACTGGAAACCTTAAGAGCAGGACAATCTACAGCTCGTCCTGACATTGTGAATGACATTTTGAATGTGGTTTTTTAGAATTGGGTTTGCTTGCAGCGTTACTTTTGCTGGGTTCCAGGGCATGCTGGGGTTAGGGGGAATGAGCAGGTGGACCGCACTGCAAAAGAAAGCTTAAGCAGTGATGATGTCCATTTATCCATGGGAGAGTGGAATTAAGAGAAATAATCCAAAGCGGGCTTAACAAAGAATGTCAGAGAGGGTGGCAAAGGGAAGCCGAGGGTAGACACTTCTTTTCTATACAACCTAAAGCTAGGAAAATATGTTTATGTAATTCTCTGTCCCGTAGGGATTCAATTGAAACTCTGTAGGTTGAGGTTGGGTCATTGTGGGTTCAATGATTCTTTGTACATTGTGGAAAACATGTTTTTCTGGATTGTGTGAGTGTGGGATCGTTGAAACAGTAAGGCATGTTTTCCTGGAATGTAGAAAAAGTATAGAGAAGAGAAAGGTATTCTTTGTTAGAATGACAGGACTTGGAGTTGAAGCTTTTTCTGTTGTATCTTTGTTTGGACACAGTAGAAATACAAATTGATCTCCAATGCAGTTCTGCAGTTTCTACATGACACAGGATTGTATGTGAGAATATAGATCTAAATCTGACCTGTGGAGGGCAGTAATACGCTTAACAGCGTCTTCTGCCGAAATCCTATAAGAAGGAAGAAGAAGAGAAGCTCTCCCTCTGCTCTGTCAATGCCGTTGTTTGCCCTGCATCCATATTGCTGCTGCTGTGTAAGTTTTCTCAGTTATTGATTATTCCGACCATTATTGTAAATGCAACTGTCATCCTACCTTTCAGCTTTATTGGTCACTATGTCTCTCGCCATCTCTCTGTCTCCGGAGTGAGTCTCTGTCTGAGGGGAAGATTTTGGCTTCATCCCCGACACCCAGACTCAGTCTGCTGAGGCCGCATCACATAAGCGACTCACCTGCGGGCCCGTGCACCACATGTTGGAAGAGCTGTATGCTCCTACATCTCAGTTCCATCTGGCCTTAACCATGAAAGAGCTCTTCAGTTACTTCTCGGTTCAAGGGAGTGTCATTAATTAATTCCCCTGGAAACAACGTGTTTTCCTCGGCCCATAATATAAAAACCAGGGCCATCTTCTGCTACCTGTGAGAAACGCTCAACCTGTATCGCTGCCTGCTGATCTCACCCCACAGGATTCTGGGAACTGTGGTCCCAGCTCCAACAATGGGCTCTGGGTTCCTGCACCCCTGCAGTAGCAATTCCTGATTCCCTCAGGAGTCAAATTTTTATACACATTATGTCAGAGGCAAGAACACCAAGTGACGGTACGACATAAACCTAATAAGACCAGGAAATACGACAAAGCCTACATAGCCCTGGGTTTACCGTGAATATGGTCGGAAATGAGGAAAGACCTGTGTGTGTTTTATGTTTAAAAACTCTGGCAGCGGACAGCATGAAACCAAACAAATTAAGACGGCACCTGGAGACCTTACCACCGAGTTATGTCAATAAGCCACTGGACTTTTTTCATTGAAAGCTCGATGAGTATCGCCAACAGGCCGGTCATTTAGTGAGCGTGGCATCAGTAAATAAAAACACACCGTTAGCCTCGTACAAACACCGCCACATCGCAAGGTGCAAAAAACCATCACAGGATAGCAGAGGAGCTAATACGCCGACAGCATTGGACATGGTCACAATCATAGGTGAGAAAAGTGCTGAGACACTGAATACTGTCCCTCTGTCCAATGACACTATCGGGAGCGTATATCTGACATTATAGACAACCTCCAAGAACAACTCACAGAACATCTAACAGATAAATGTTAAATAAGTAATATTGTTGCAAATTTTGCACAAAAAAAAAAACCAAATGTTAAAAAGTCATATACCTTTTTGAAAAGGAATAAGCTGATGAAGCTGACAAGTGACCAATGTTTACAGTTTAAAAACGTTTTGAATGTTACTGTGTTAAGTCTATAAAAATGCACATCCCAGTGAATCATTTGCACTTTTTCTCTGTTTAGAGAATCACACAGACTGAGCAGTCTTGTTTAAATGTTACAAACTGAGTTAATAAACTGAACTTGGAAATTGTTTTTAGTTGTTGCAGATGTTATCTCAGCTCATTTTATTAATCCATTTTGATAATCAGGAGATTGTATGCAGAATGCTGGTGCTAGCAACTCATACAGTGGTTTGTACCGATTAATAAATAAATAAATAAATAAATAAATATGATCAGTTTCTCAATAGTATTGAAATTCAGGGGGGCGTGAAAACATTTCTGTCTTCTAGGGGGCATGACAGAAAATAATTGAGAACCACTGCGCTAAGGCATTTAAAAATATTTCTTATTATGAAAATATAAGGATTAACTAGCTGGAATCTAAGCATGCTGATAGTTGGTTGCTGTTAACAACTTGACACAGTTGCTTTTTACATTTTCCAGTTTTAGAGTGATGTTTGGGTAGTGATATTTCTCTTTTAGTGGACAAAATAATAAAAATAAATAAATTGACACATTATGTCAGTTAACTCAGCTTTAGTTTAAAACAAAGTTAGTTTTAGTGGCTAAACAGCTGTTAGAATCATCACAAACATTATCTAACAACTTCCCTATGTCAAGAACTGCTTTGCAAGGACTGGCAAATCTCATCCCGTGCTAATTTCTGTAAATCAGCCTCCAATAGCAGGTCTATGCTGGCTCCCAAAAGTGACCCATGTCTGTAAAAACCTGCAGTTGGCTATTCCAGAGCCAGAAGTAGTAAAGATCTTCTTTTCGAAGAGGTTATTAAGGATACATGTTAGGTTAAAATCGCCCTTCTCCTTCTTCAGAGTATATTCTTAGGTGTTTCCACAAGCAACAAAAACAGAACGTCTCATCATTGTTTTTCTCAGCTCCTCGTGATTCTTCCATTCCGAACATATATGGCTTAATTTCTCATGCTAGCAGGGATTCAGTTTCACATTCGATGGAAAGATCCAGCATCCCAGAGTCTTCTGGGAAATCCTTCCATTCAGCTGCTCCTCAATGGCTTTAAACGACGCATACTCAAGGCAACGATAAGACTCCTCACACAATTCACTGGTGCATTAATTGTTTACACTTATATTGATGTAATGTTGGAAGAAGTTCTGTTGATGGCTTTTACAGGTTTCTCAGGGGTGAATATGCATGCAGATCTCATCTTAATCCTCAGCATAATCTTCCCTTCCCTGATTTAACCTTAGAAGATCACATCATATCACATGTACTCAATATTCTCGAAGCACTCATAATCTAATAGATCTCACCAAGGCACTCAAATGCTATGACTAACACTACATTTTGTCCTTTCTCTTCTATGATGAAATCCCTGCATCATCGCTCCAACCCATTGTTCATCGTCGTTGGTTGCAACCCATGGCGAGATCCCGGTTCTGCTTAAGCTGTGTGATCTCTGCTGAGCTGTGGCCTAACGCGAACACTATCCCTTCACTATCTAAGATTAGCGCAACTACAACCGCTGCTGTCCATCTGCCCGCTTCAACCAATCTACCAAGGCTAATGTCAGGCTCCACAAGAAGGGATTTTGACCATGCAAAAACTCATGAGCTCCTGCTCCCCTTTATGCATTTAAAATATTTATCTGCTAACACCCCAACTGGTGAGGCAGATGACCACCCACCTAGAGCCGAAGGGTCTGTCCTGGGTTTCTGCCTCTTAAAGCAGTTTTTCTGTACTGTACTGTTGGGTCTCTGTAAATGTTGTAATGTTATAAGGAGTTCGGTCTAGACCTTCTCTATTTTGAAAGTGTCCTGAGATAACTTCTGTTATGAATTGGTGCTATACAAATTGAATTGATTAATTATATATTTGCATATCAGTTGGTTGCTGGGTTTAGAGTATCTATATCTTTGCTATATGGGAAATGTTCCCGCATAATACTTTGCTAAGTAGTATATTCCCTCATGGCTTGAGGTGCTCATAGGGAATAGCCACATGGCAAAACCCACACATAGCAGTTCACTAGGTAGTGTATTCCGCTGGGGCCAAGGTGCTTCAGGGGAATGGCCACACCGCGTCGGTGTAAGGTCCACACATAGAAGATTGTTTCACTGATGGCGTCAGGCTCCCTTCCTTTCTGTTTTGGCCTCCGTCCTTTCTGACGGAGGCCCAAACTCAATTAAACTGCTGGCTCACAAGCTTAAGAAGCAAACTGGTAAAACCTATATCGGTAAACTACATAATGAAAAAAGAAAAAAGAAGAGATAGCTGAGACATTCACACATTTTTATTTAGTGTAAAATAACATGAGGCTGTGGGTTGGTTTTCCTCCTGTCCTCCACAATGTTTGAGTCAGCAGCCACTGATGCACACACAGGACCTGGACACATGCATTAGTGGACAGACGTCAGAGTGATGAGGCTGCCACACAGTCGCTGCTCCAAGCAGTTAGGGCTTCAGTGCCTTGCTCAAGAGACCTCGGCAGAGCCCAGGAGGTAAACTGGCATCTCTACAGGTGTGTGTGTGTGTGTGTGTGTGTGTGTGTGTACGTGTGTGTCAACATTGGTACATTACTGTCATAAATTATGTAACTGATGATGTCACTGATTACCTGAACAGGTGAGAATCAGGATGATGGAAGAAGAACTTGGTGTAACACACTCCCTCAGAGCAGATCCAGACTGAACACAGTCAGAGTAGATCTCCCACACAGATCTGTGTGAGGACTCCTTTCTCTCTCCTACAGAAACAGCAGAACCACAGTCCAGTTCTCTGCAGACAACAGCTGCTTTCCTTCAGGGTCCAGTAAGGGCCAATCACTGGTCTCCATTCATTCTGATGTTCCACCTCCAGTGTTCCTGCACAGCGACTGTCTCCTCCCACCAACCTGACAGACTCTGAACAGAGACAAGAGAGTCATCAATAAAAAATGTGACTTTAATTAAGAAAATCTGAAATTAAAACTTGATTCTTTGTGTCTCTGTTCTTTGTGTATTTACCTGTTGAGTTGTGTTTTCCTTCAGTCTGCAGTCCTGAGGAGAAAACCAGGAAATAAACATCGTTTGCCAGTTGACTACAGGTGAGATGAACATGTGAATACACAGAACACAAGTCAGCAGACGGATGATTCCTCGGCCTCAGCTCCCGTCTGTCCAACCATCTCACTCCTGGCTGACCTCTCTGCACTTCCTATCACACAACACTGCAAACATTTATTTAAATCACATTAACAGCAGCAGACAAGATCCTATTGTTCACCTGGAAGGTTCCTGTTACCTTTGGCTAATTCATTCATTTATTCATTCATTCATTCATTTGATCAGAAGGATCTGCACACTGATAACTTCCTCTCTTTAGGGCCCCAGGTGTTTAAAACATCTGTACAGACATGAAATATAAACATAGACCTGAAACCTTCAAACATTGCTTCTTTAGGTTCTTTACAGATTTCACTGTTATTATTGTTGGACATGAATTTATTATTTTGTCTACACAGCGTTCTGTAATATCTCACTCAGTCACATTTATTAACTGAATTTAAATTATTTATTAGTATGAATTTGATCTTATCTGACAACAATTTGTGCCTGAGTCAGGTCAGACTGAGTTTCATCATCACTACATCTTTTCTCATTGCTCTGATGTGAGAGGCCCCCTAGTGGCAGAAACAACATACTGTGTGTGAACACAAATAAAGAGGTTCTCTGTAGCATGTTGTTCTGTCACATAGAACTCCACAGGATGGACAGTTAGAGCTCACTGGGTTTCTTTATGAACACAATCCTACAGTACAGAGCTTCCTGTTGCTCTCAGCATCCACTTTATTCAACCACAGAAATCAGGTGCAACACAAACCTCGACAATAATCTGACTGTTCCACATTATATTTACCAATACACCAATGGATGCAATAATCAGAGTCAGATTCTGTTTATCATCATTAACTTCATGAACTCACGCTGGAACACACAACATGACATACTAAATCTAATTAATGAATCAATAAACTGATACAGAGTGATTACCAGAGGCTGCCAGGACCTCCATCTAAAACAGCTGAACACACCTGGAAACATCTGAATACGTCACAGACCTGAACACACCTGATCTTGCCCCGAACACACCTTTTCACAACAGAACACACCTGTGCACAAATGAACACACTTTACCCCCCACTGAACAGTTCCCAGACCCAGTGGGACAGAGCTTAAGGTGGAGGTGGGCTGGGGGAGTGACAGATAAGAGGGGAATAAAGTGTGAATATGTGATGAAGAGAGAATGTGCTGTTGTTAGCGTACTTTTAGTCACTGTAAGGTAATGTATTTGTTGTATGTGTGTCCATATGGGAAGCTGCATGAGAAATGATCCTGATCTCATGAACCTGATGTCAGTGAGCACAGTGAGACACAATAACAGTGCGGGCAAAACCAAGAGGAAACACATGATCACACTAATAAATACATTTATCAATAAACAAATAGGAAGCTGTTTACAAATGTAGACAATTATTTATGACTTCTGATGGTTTAGTCATGTTGAGCCTCTGTTTTTAACTTCATTAAACTAGTCTTAGTCTGGTTTTTAAATTGGTTTAAAACTGTTCTTAAACTGGTTTTAAACTGGTCTTAAGCTGGTTTTAAATTGGTTTCAAACGGGTTTAAAATTAGTTTTAAACTGGTTTTAAATTGTTTTTTTTAACTGGTTTTAAACTGGTCTAAAACTGTTTTTAACTGATTCAAACATGTTTTTTAGTTTATTTTAATTTGGTTTTCAACTGGTTTTAAATTGTTTTTTAACTGGTTAGGGACCAAGCCAGTGTCAACACTGGGAGGACTCTATTGTAATTGCTGAGTTTATTATTATTATTGTTATTAGGAACGTTGACTGCGTTTTTGACCCCCTGAACATATACTTCACATTAATTTAATAAGTTGTCAGGCCTGGTGAAAACTTTGAAATTCTATGGTTGCTTTGGGGTCGGCCACTAGGTGGCGCTACTATTAAGAAAAGTAGGTTTAGGCTAATAACTCCTGCATCGTTTGTCTCACATTCAAAAACCTATATCCAATGCGACGCTATGTTTCACCAATATGTATTAAACTTCGTAGGCACGTGTAATGTACCGAGACCTACAGAAAAGCCTCTTGGACCCATGCCCCAAAACCCACGGGAAGTCGACTATTTTGATTTTGATTTTAACTCTTGGCGGCCATTTTGTTTGTCATTTTCACTTTTTCGCGTTGTATTTGAACGAACTCCTCCTAGGGAATTTATCGGATCTGCTTCAAAATTGGTCAATACAGTCAAAAAATGTTGCTGACTGAATGCCGTGGTATTTGTGCCTGTACGTTGAAGGGAGTGTCCGTGGCGTGATGTCAAAGCACGCCACTAGGTGGCGCTCTGGTGGCATGGTAAATCACTCTGCGGAGACCGTAATAGTTATGAATATGAAATTCACAGGGCACTTGTAGACTGGTGCCTGTAGCTCACATACCAAAAATCGTGTTTCTCGTGTTTGTAGCGCCCCCTACAGTATTTCCACAAAGCAGCCCCGGCGCCACGTTTCACCAATATGTCAGCAGATTCGCCATTAAACAGCACTCATAACTTCAGTGCACAACGTCCAATCTCCAAAAGAATCCATATATTCTGAAACAGTCTCGCCCTGAACACGTCCTCATAACTTGGTCCAATCTCAATGAAACTTCACGTGTTTGATAAAAGTCCCACCCTGAACACGTCTATGTGATAATATTCAGACATAGTGATAGCGCCACCTACTGGCAAGAGGAAGTAAGCACCGCATTGCGATTTTGATCTGATTTACGTGAAATCTTTTTTTACAGCATTTTCCTGTTTTTCTTCCTTTGATGCTTTGATATGATGTGTGTGTGTGTGTGTGTGTGTGTGTGTGTGTGTGTGTGTGTGTGTGTGAGTGTGTGAAGAGTTTACAACAACAGATTCTTAAAATGAATCAACCAACAGCAGTTTGATTGATACTCCCTGGATTAATTTCAAATCAATGAAAATGGAGATATCTGTTTGTGTAAATGAAGCCTTCGTATGTTCCTCCAACATCCAACACAGATATTTAACACATCATCTTTAAAGCCGAGTCCTACCTGAGCTCCACAGCAACAGCAACAGCACCAACAGCTGATCCATGTCCACGTCCACTGTCTGTCTGCTCTCGTCTGTCCGACTCGTCGTCTGTTCACCTGCTTATGAAATGTTTCCTCTTCCTCTTTTATCTCCTCATCAGAGCTCAGATGAGGAGCTTCTCAAAACTTAATTTCACAACTTTTTGAAGCAGATTTTGAGATATGGGCTCTCACATCCTCCTCATGTTTGACTTTAAAGTTCACATTTACACCTGCACTATCATCAAAAGAGGGAACGTGCGGCACCACAACGGCCTCAAAGCTTAATACATCATTTTAAACGATGACTCTGAAATCAGCCAATCAATGTGTTTGTACTTGTGAAGCATTTTAATTCTACAAATTCCAGTAGTTGAAATATGCTTTGATTTGAGTAAAACCTGATTCAAAGTTTCTTTTCCTGATTTTTGTGTATTTGTATTTTTGGAGAATGAAGACTTGTGACTTGCTTGATTAACAGTGATAAAAGACTTGACTTGAGACTTGACTTTGACTTGCATGAAATGACTCGACAAGTCATTGCTGTCTTTATTAATATGTGAATTATCAAAAAATATATATTTTTTTGATTGGATATTTCCTGTTGCATGTGGGCAAACCTGGCAACCTGTAATCTAACCAAGTGACGCACCCATCACTGACTGCAGTGGTTGTAGAGAGGCCAGAGCGGAGCACTGGAAGGTGGAGCTGTTCCCAAAATTATAAAATCTGGTTTCAGAGACTTTTCTAACCTGCAGCTCCTGCATCCCAGCGTGCACTCTCTCTCTGCTGCTCACTCCCGCCCGCTCACTCTCGTTCGTCCACTCACACCTTACGCACAAACACACATTTTACATTTTATTGACGATATCAATAATAATTAATGTGTAGGATATTAAATCAGTACACATCAGTAATGTCATGAATTGGATATTACACTGAATAGTTAAGCTCCACTTCATGTCAGTGTAGCTATTATTTGGATTAATAATTAATTTGTAAGATATCTAATCAAGCAAAAGATCATTAATAATTGATATTAGGTATTAGACTGTGATAAAACATGATGCACAGACTTCAGCTTCTGAAATGATTTATCTTTCTGTTTTGTTCTGTTTTAGTAGTAGTGCAAAAATAAATGCCAAAATAATCGGTACTAATCGACTAAACAAAAAAATAATGGATAGATTAGTTGACAACCAAAATAATTGTTAGTTGCAGCCCTAGTACAATGTAGAGTGAATCAACATAGCCTACCTTTCCTAGGGGTCCTTGGAAGCTCATTGAACTCTAGTTTTATGTTTGACAGACAGTGACATTATTCATGTGTTCATTCAGCCTAATACAATCTTTGGTTTTACTTTACCACATACTGAATATGTCCACAGAACAGTGAGGGGCTCTATATTTAATGAGAAATTAGAGATGACAGCTTAGTAGACAAAATTTTCAAATGTTAACATCTTTAATTGATTTTGATTAAAAAATATTTTAATTGCAATGTTACCTATTTATTTAATGGAATACTATTCAAAGAAAACATGAGCTACCAGCACTTATATTTCTATGAACTTGACTTGACTTTCACAAAAATGACTTGAGACTTGAAGGTTAAGACTTGAGACTTGCACACGTGTGACTTACTCCCACCTCTGGTATAAACTCTAGAGCAATTTTTATATGTAATTGATCAATAATCAATAATCATGCAATGTTAGCTGCTAATGTTAGCAGCAGCATTAGCAGCTAACGTTAGCAGCAGCTCGGCTCGCAGCCCCTCCGGGACGTCCTTTGTCTGTCCAACAGCGTGGGAGAAGCAGTGATTGTTAAGGTGGAACTGCTTTATTCAGTGTGTTTAAGGTGGAACTGCTTTATTCAGTGTGTTTAAGGTGGAACTGCTTTATTCAGTGTGTTTAGTGGTTTTAATCAGCGGGTCTGTTTGTGTTGGAGAGGAGGAGACCTCTGTGGATCATTGGGCTCCCGGTAGAAACCTCCTGAACCATGAACACTGAAGGAATCCTAACCGGGAGAAGCTGACTGCAATGACGCCAATGGTGGTGAAGACAACAACTCCCATGATCCCACGCTGCTTCACCACCTCATCACACTTCCTGTTATTGTTTGGATGTTAGTGCCCTCTAGTGGCAGAAATGACAGATTATAGTAATTGTAATAGTTACTTCCACTCCTAAAATTGAAATCAAGAAAGAGGAACGTCCAAACCCTCTCCTATCTTCCTTTTCTTTGCAACCTATCTGCCTTTAATGATTGACAGAACCAATAAAAACCCACGTTAACGATGTAACACAGAAATATCTTCTTGTTTGGGGTAAAAAGCGTCCTTTGGTTCGTCTCTGAGATGATGAAAGCAGGATTGAACCATTGATGGAACATGTTTTTCTAAGCTGAGGTTTGAATTGAAACTGACACAAAGATGAGTTATGGTTACGGAGAACCACGACTGTTTAATATTTGAGAATCATTTATATTAATTTAACATAATACTATTTCTTCATGTTTGTCATTAATAATCATTTTTGTATTAAAGAAGACTGGAGGTTCATTTCATGTCAGTCATCTGATAGTTGGTGAGTTACAGGAAGCGTCCCAGAAACTATCTGATGAAATAAAAACCCTCCTGTATGTTTCGCAATACATAGTGTGAGGTTGCCATGGTAACGGAGTATAATCTGTAGCCTGACATCAGCTCATCAGTTAGTTTGTCCTCAGGCTCTTTCCTGTCACAGAAATACCTCCCAGCTTCATTTTGTTCACATGAAAACAAACTCAGATGTGTTGAGTTCAGAAGCTTCCTTCAGGTTCTTTCGAGGTTTTAAAGGATGAAAAGTGACGTTTTGATGACGATGAGCTGAGGGAAGACGATGATGAGCAGCTCAGTCTGATGGACAGTCTGTCGGTCATGTTATGAATGTGCTCAGAGCAGTTACTGCCTGCAGCTTCTGTCAGAGAGAAAACATGCAGCTGATGAGGAGATAAACAAAGACGTGACTGACAGAGGACAAATGGCTGATTGCACCAATTAATGCAAATTCAATCAATCTTTTTCTCAAATGTGACCCATCATTATAGTTTCCCACCAGTCTCACTGATCATAGCGTAGATATGAAATTACTCAGTTACCTAAATTACAAGCATGTCTTAAAGACATACAACCTGGATGACACTGGCTCCCTGTAAAATGTAGAATAGAATTTAAAATCCTCCTCCTCACCTATAAAGCTCTTCATGGTCAGGCCCCTTCATATCTTAAAGAGCTCATAGTACCCTATTACCCCTCTAGAACACTACGTTCTCTGAATGCTGGGCTACTTGTGGTTCCTATAGTCTCTAAAAGTAGAACAGGAGCCAGAGCCTTCAGTTACCAAGCTCCTCTCCTGTGGTTGTAGGAACGTGTGTTATTAATATTTTATATCGAAAGCTGAGTTAAGCTGAATACAAAACACTGGAGAAATGTTAAAAACAGCAACTAAAAAGGTTAAATGTCATTCCATACCATTCAACAGGGGACTCCTGTCATTCTATACAGTCCAAGTGTGGACCAACTTTATATTTTAGATTGTGAGGTTCCAAACAAAAGTCAACATATAAAGCCCTGTTCATAGATCTGTATCACTGTGTGATGGTTCTGAGATGAGCTGCTAAAAGCTCATTACCATTTCAAAGCCCAAAACACTAACATAGCAGATAGACTGTAGAGCTTAAGATACATTTCAGTTGACAATACTGATTCAATTCAACTGAATTTTATTTAGTTACAAATCATAACAGAGGTTATCTCAGGGCATTTCATATAGAGCAGGTTTAGACCATACTCCTTATAAAATGAAGGAGGAAATAAGGACTTATAAAGTGGCCCATACTGAGTATCAGTGTGAACTTAATGCAGCCTGTGTGCCTTTCACTGTATGCAAACTCTCAGTTCCTCATCCTGCACCATATGACAACCCTCTACTATGCCTTCTCTATTCACCAATAAATGTACAACTTCATGTGCCACAGATTGTAAATGTTAGGGAAAAACTAATGACCGTTCAATGCAGGTAACGACTCCAGTCCAACCAAACCATCTGCACTATAATAAGGTAAATTAAGCTACAAACTTTATCCAGTGACTACAGTGTCTGCCTGGGTCTAACAGTGGGCTTTGTGGGGTTAATCTATCCTCGAGCTGACTTCCCTTAGATATGTCCAAAATAAGTAATTTATGTTTCTTCACTTACATATTGTGCGTCATGATAGGTTGTCATTATGTTTCACAATGCACTCCACATTTAATAAAGTTACAATGACAACAGTGCTGGTGTCATTGTGTACCAGCCAACAGGGGACTCCTGTCATTCTATACAGTACAAGTGGGGACTTTTTATCAATTAAAACTAAAAAGAAATAATTATGTTGCTGCTCATTTTAATTCCTGATTTTATCCTGTGTATTTTAAATTACTTTAAATGCTACTATATATTACTGCCCTGCCTTCTGGATAGCCCTTCATTTTAATACAATCTGATGCTAGCTAACTAGTTAAGAAATCCACATTAGTTGAGCCTTATTGTTTTGTTTTAAATAACATTAAAATATTGTGTTGCAAGAGACAATTTACTGACATGATATGTCACCGCATGATTCAAAACCTGCCCAAGATTAGGAAATGTTTGTTGTTAAGGGCAAAAACTAAATAAGATATAATACAATAACATGTGTGTGTGTGTGTGTGTGTGTGTGTGTGTGTGTGTGAGTGTGAGTGAGTGTAGTCAGTGTGAGTGTGTGTGTGTGTGTGTGTGTGTGTGTGATTGTGTTGTGTGTGTGTGTGTGTGTGTGTGTGTGTGAGTGAGTGTGTGAGTGTGAGTGTGAGTGTGTGTAGTCAGTGTGTGTGTGTAGTCAGTGTGTGTGTGTGTGTGTGTGTGTGTGAGTGAGTGTAGTCAGTGTGAGTGTGTGTGTGTGTGTGTGTGTGTGTGAGTGTGTGTGTGTGTGTGTGTGTGTGTGTGTGTGTGTGTGAGTGTGAGTGAGTGTGTGTGAGTGTGAGTGTGAGTGAGTGTGTGAGTGTGAGTGTGAGT